CTACTGCGAGGACCGTGCATCATACGGAGATATCTATTGTTTGCGTCCACCAACATGGCGGCAATGACGTAACGTGCAAACCACCTATTTCGTGGTATTCGTGGCCTTCTTGTCTTATGGTTGTTTTCTTCATTGCTGTTCTCAAAGCCTCAATCACAGAGACTTTTCATGATTCAGCCCATTTTGTTAAGCCCTCCTCGGTTTTTTTCCGCTGTAATTCTTCTTTTTATCCCGTCGAGTTTCCTTTGGAGGCGGAGCAAGTTCGAATGATCATGAAAATAGGTGCTTTTTGACACCATTTTTTGCTTCACAATCATAAATGTAGGCTCGGATTAACTATGTTGGCATAATTTCGGTCATAATGTTATTGCCACAGCATGATGATTTTCTTAAGATAGGTTTGCAACTCACAAATAATTATAGACGAGGGACCAACTCTATATTGCGTCCGATATCCAGAATTATAGAGTGCATCGATTGCTATGTCAGAGACACGTTTCTGAGTGAGAAACAAACAAGCAGATTACAAAGATTATAACAACATAGCGCTCATAATCATGATTTCTAATATGATGTATGCCACAGATGTTCTGACTTGTAGCTATGGACTTAACCCTGAGAAATCAAGTTATCGTCTTGGCTACGACTCGCCCACCCCCTCTCTCGTCGGGAAATAATTTTTGCAAGCAGGATTAACATAAACCGTTTGACACCGTATGAGTGGCCTTGACAATGTCGCCCCCCCGATCACACATTAAAGTTATTAGAAGAAAGTAAGTGGTCACGAAATAAAAGGGCTCTTGATTTTCAAAGAAATTCTCCTTGTCAGCGCCTTAGAAAATGTATAGAGGAAAGTATGGAGAATATGCGTACTGATGTTAGCGGGGTGTAAAAGGTTAACAGGCATGAACTCGTAATGTTTCGAGCCCTTGAAGTGTTGCAATCCCCATCAGAGACGTTTCATTCAACTCTATAGAATATTCATCTAAGTTTTTGTTTACGATCAAGCACCTTGTTGTAGTTTTAATGCGTTTGGAAGGAATTTTGAAAGGTAGTAAAATTGTCAATGACACAACAATTATGGCCGGATCACCAGCGAGAACGAAATTCTTTGGCGGAGTGTAGCTGATGCCGACTTTCAAGTTAACGACAAAAATTGATATTATATTTTTAAAAAGCTCTGGTTTCGATCCTCAATTTACAAAAAAATACCGTCAGTAAAAGATTTTGTTTATTAACTTTTGAACAATATAAACTCGAGTAAACCCTAACTTCAGTATACATATTCGCCATGTTGTTCTCTATACATGCTCTAAGGTTTTGACAAGAAGAATTTGTTTCAAAATAGAGAGCTTCTTTAGCTCCATTTTCTTTATTCTCGGGACTTAACGTTGATTCGGGGGAGGTGGGGGAAGGGGGGGAGGGATGGGAGGATACTGTGGGGGGGAAACCAGATGCTGATCACTCATAGGAATTAAAGGCTTGTTATTATGCACATTTTTCGATTTTTTTATCGCCTTTACAGCTTATTACCACTGTCACCTTGCCGACCAAAATGATAGTAGACATGGAACACTTTTCTCTGAAAACTAAGGACCGGTTATTATTTATTACCTATGAAGGGGTCAGAAGATGTTGGTTTTGTCACGATAAAATTTACCTGATCTCCCCATTGGGCTTTATGATATTTTTCTAAACTTCCTCATTGTCTGTTACTTGGCCGTCAATCTTCCATAGTCCCCCTTTTTATCACGTTGGCGACTAGTTATCCCCCTTGCGTTCCCCCTGAAAACCCCGTATGATAGAGATCGACTGGTCCCTTACCAGCTCCGAGTAATCGTCTGGGTAAGCTCTTTTGTAACCCCAGGGGGTCATCCAGAGTTGACTGTAGGCATGAATATCCATATAACCGATCAGGTTCCCTCGATTTTTGTAAAGATATCGAGCAACATTTCTGACTTCAATCTCAGAGAAAGGTCGACTTCCGTAATAGGTGTCCCTGCATGGGTTGCTGCTAGTACCAGCTCCTGAGAAAGAGAAAGATGAGCCATGAGCAAAAACGTAAGCGGATAAGAGTTCGATTCCTGACGGGAAGAGGCCATTTTCGATATATTAAAATTCTAACTTTGCTCCGAGGCTGGGGAGAAAGAAACAAAAGAAATTAATTATTCATCTCTCAACCTGGATGTGATTTCTTTTGCTTTATTTCCCCAAGCCTTGGAGCCAAGTTTTAATTTTGATATATCCAAACTGGCCTATTCTGATTTTTCTTAGAGACCATCATTATTCATTACCTCGGGGGAGGGTGTGGAGGAATCTGGAGGATCCCACAGTTTTCAGGGGGGAGGGGAGGGGGATCAGTCGTTGCCATCAGGGTATAAAAAGGGACTCAAGAAAATTGACAGTAAATTGATTACCATCAAGTGGGAGATCACAAGAACATTGCCGAGCCTTAAGAGTATCAAGTATATTTTATCGTAAAAAGACCAAAATCCTCCGACCTCATCCCAAAGAGATAAATAATGGCCAATGTCTTTGTCCTACGTCTGTCCACGGAGCCAAAGAAGTTCGAAGTGTATTTGAAAGTGTTCATTTCCAGTGGCAGAGACACACAAGTTCTAAATTAGAGCTTGAAGTTGGCGATATTCATGCGCTTCCGAATGCACGCATTATTCTTCAGGATTGACTTCTCATTAAGGTACCACTACGCCTTTTTTTTAAATTGATAACGATCGTCGTTAAAGTTACCTGCCCAAGCAAAGTTCCAGTTGCGGTTGGGGTCTGTCCCTTTGCAGTCAGATCCATCATTTCGAGATCTAGTCTTCCCCCACATTCGATTCTGTAAAAGTTAAACAAATCAAATCATAAATCAAATCATATTCTTTATTTCTTAAGATAAAATCACATATCCTAAGTTACAACATAAACTCACAAGGGAAACTATTACATGTCATATTAAAAAATTATCCTATTAATAAAAACGTTCTTATCGTTATCATCATATTTTTTTCAATTTTCTGAACACGTTTTAAGTCCCATAGACTAGCCCTCCTTCAAACTCTTTGAACGTGAGCAGGAAACTGGAACGAGTATATGAATTTGAGGCTTATAGGTAACTTGGGAAAATTTTTGGCTCGCGATGATAATCTATGCACCGAGTAAAATTCAGTCAACAAGCATTTTTCTATGAGTGTCATTCTTTCCTTTACCGGCCTTGCTCACGCCGTTGCGTAATACGGCTCTCAAACGTCATTTTTGTCATGGTTTTTTTAAATTTATGCGTTGAATATTTAACAATTATTCTATGAGGGAGCGTTTGATATGATATATTATTGGTAAATAACCCAGCAGGCGTGTAGCGCCGAGTTGGCTTTAACCAATCTCGGATCCAACAAGCGCGATTGGAATAATTTTTTTCTTAAATCATCCGCCTTTCGTTACCGCTACAGGAGCTTATTAAATTTGATTTGACTCTGAAATTAAGAGACACTTCGGGTAAATCTGTTTCTATATAAGGGGATTTGGTCTATGAGCTGATGCCTGGAGTTGTTAACCAATTATAATTAGAACACTAGAAATGCAGCATCCTGAGTTGAAAATTCATTGTTTCTTAACAGCAGAGATGGTTTTCTTAAAACACTCGTTGGAGTTTTTATTGCACTTACTCCGGTGTGAGTGTACTCATAACCATCCACATTAAATACGGGCATGATCACCCAATCCATCTTGTCCACCATGTTGGTAACGGATACGTCTTTGCCATATTTCTTCAGCATCTGCTCGTAAATTTAAAAGAAACACCAGGTTATAACATAAACATACCCTAGGGAGGCTTAAA